CCCCCCCCCCCCCAATTATCGTTCTGGCTACGCCACTGATTCCCGATCTGTTTTTGGCAATATCTCTGTTGTTATAATGCAGAATAGCTGATGCAGGTTTGCCATCCCTACCCGCACGTCCAGTCTCCTGAAAATATGCCTTTGCATTGCACGGAGGACCAACATGAATCACTTGGCGAATGTCAGGTATATCGACACCCATCCCCATTGCCACAGTTGCAAATACAACACACACAGTGCTTCTCATTGAACAAAGATGCCTAAGGATTTCGTCCTTCATTTGGCTGGTCTGTGGACCATGAAATTGGGCAAACAATCGGTTAGATGGGATTTGAGCTGAACCAACAGGAAAATATTGTTCACTCCCCAGAACATACTCGAACAACTTGTATGCAAATCCACACAGTTTCAATGATATATATATATATAACAGTCAGTGGATAGTCAATCTTTGCATGTAACAATCCTTTGGCAATTAACAGGCATTAAAATGGATTTGATAGCATCATAATCATCCCCATGTCTAAATACTTTCTCGTAGAAAATGTTTGTGCGGTCAGGATTGCCAACAACAACCTTGCATTTTTTTAATCCCAGTGATTCTTGTATGTGCTTCATATCTGTGCAACTAGCTGTTGCAGTCATAGCAAGAAGTGGAATGTCTGGGAATAGAGCACATAGAACTCCAAGTTTGCCATAGTCTTTCCTGAAATCACTGCCCCTGCAATGGAAATGAATCGTGTATTTAATTCAGTAACACATATAATGTACAAGTCAGTCAATTCCTGGAGTACAGGTAACTATCCCCCCTCCCCAGAAACTTGCCTGATGACAGTTCACTAGGGTTGGAAATGTGCCTGTCATATACGTGCACCGGGGCCGGGTATTGTTATAGTCGCTGATATCCTGGGGATTTAACAAATGGATTTCACACTATTATTACCTGTGTCATGCAAATTTAAATACAACAATTAAAGGTTTATAATTTCGTTGTTTCAATCCTTTTAACCACTCTTAGCAAGACTCGTGTTTATATTCAAGTTTTATAATATTCCATAGCAGTTTAATAGAATGTTATTAAATGACTATGCCTATGATATGTGGGGCATTTTCCACACTCAGCTTGCCCAAGGGCCGTGCATTCATCTTCTAGTTGTGTCCCAGCACCCGGGCATTTGCACTGTCATAACCAATCAAATCAAATTCCCGAGTCTGTTCCGGGGGAGGAGGGGGGGGATGGTTATTCCTGCAATTGACTCATGCATAATAAACACATACAATTGTTTTATCCGCAGTAAACGTCAGAATAATAGATATTTTACAAGATATTAAAAGTGTACAGCTGAAGTATTTATTATAAATATTAGATACTAACCAGTCCAATATGCTGTGAGCTTCGTCAACGACAATGGCAACGACATTTTCTTGGTAAATTTTGGACATCAATAATTCCCGACCATATTTAGTGGAAATCAAAGATTCAGGATGAGCAAAGACAATGTGGTAGTAGCCATTACGCAGCTTCTCGTCTTCGCATAGACGTAAATCAACGTCTACATCGACCATATTTTCATCCGACTCAAATTCTGAGCTTGCTTTCACAGAAACGAAAGACGCTCGGATACCGCTCAAGCTTAGTCGGGAGATTTGGTTGCTCATTAAGGAGTTTAGCGGCGAGATTACAATAATTATAGTATCAACTGCTACCGATGCAATTCTTGACTTTCAACAAAGATAAAAATCGCCATCTGGCGTGCCCATATCAGTGAGCTTGCCTTTCGCGAACAACAACATAGGCACGAGATGAAAAACCAGGGAATTCCCGTAACCAGTTGGAAGAACACACAGAACATCATTCTGTAAAAAAAATACTTTCGAGACATATCACTTGCTTCGGCTTTAAAATCGTGTTGCAATACAAACTATTTGAAACCGCAAATTCTAAGCAATAGAGAAAAGCAATGTATTCCAGCATATGGCGGATTTTCGAATGTAATATGATCTCTACCCCTCACCCCCTAAGGCAATCTATTTTTGACGAGGCACGTGACCAACCGATACCAGGGTCTTTCCTAAAGATCCTGGGAACGAGGTTGGGGGAGTGTAACATATGTCATAGCGGAACAAACGTCATAGCGGAAGTAAAATGGACAGGCACGTTGTTGTTGTCTTGATAGTGTACAAAATGTAGGGTAAAAATGTATATGTTGTTTTGTATGGTTTTATATGCGATTGCTTTTACCGTTTCGATGAGAAGTACGGGAGAAATAGTACGAGTAAAGAACGATTAAATTAATATAGGCGTTAGAAATAAAATCAATTTGATCCCTGTCTTGTATTACCGCCTGTATTATATAGCCCGACTAAGTGTAACTGTGCTATATGACTTACAGTTGTTAAGGTTGATCTGTGGTTTGTTGGCAATGGCAACATTTTATGACGAAATAGATGCTTTTTTATCCTGGCTATTGATGTCAATGGATACGAGTGGTTGAGGTCAACTACGTTTCTGATCCAACATTGAGTAAACACATACCGAACTTTGCAACGCCGTTGAACAAGCAAATATATCGTATTATATTCATAACTTGAGCACGCCCATGCAATGAACATGGAACCACCTGTAAAAATAAATACAAAAATATATGACCCAAAGCGTGACAGAAAAAATATTTACGTATTAACTGCGAAACGTTTAATAAACAAAAGCAAAATAGAAGTTGACTTTAATGTTATTTTTTCAAGCAATGTTGCTGGGTGAGGGTTTTCACGAAAAATCGTCACTCGCCAATTACAGGAAAATTATCAAACTTTGTAGACGATTTGTGGCTATGCCCGTCAAGTGCCCAACTATTCTACATTTCCCGTTAAAAAACACAACTCTAGGTTTACAATGGTAGTAATGTGTACTTGGTATAAGGTGCCAAACTTACGAAAATTGCTATTTAATTTGTCTTATAATGTGTGACTTTGTAAACTAGTGAAAGTGTATCTTTTCAGAAAATTATTTCTCCTCCAATCCTGAATAGGTGTCCCTGATTTTTTGTTGTAAGAAACTATAAGCCCTGATTGTTAAAATATTTTGATACATAAGACTCTCACTTACGTGTTTGCTTCGCGAGAGTCGTAGGAAAATCTGTTATTTACGGCAGTTTCAGGCCGCCATTTTGGACCAGACAAGGTGTAAAATATCGATCGGCCAAATTTTACAAAAAAAGCTTTTTAACTCAAACCGATTTCTTTTTTCATACAAGTACCTGAAAGGAAAACTATTGTGAAAAATTTGAAGACTTTCATATTTTCTTCCAGAACTGGGTGCCCGGTTGTTACAGAGACATTCTCTTAAGGTTTTAGAGTTTAAGGTTTGCAAAGGACAACCTTTATTGAATTGTACATTTTAATATAAAATTTTATCCTATATTAGTACTCCATGTAATTCACTTTTTCCCTTAAAAACTGCAAATTGGTTTTAATTAAACAGATTGATTGATTGATGTCGTTTAAACGAATTTTTTTTCAGTTGATGAATGTGCACAAGGAATAGACGATTGTAATGAAAACAAAAAATTTGTATGTAGAGATACGGATGGTTCATTTGAATGTATTTGTCCTCCTGGCTACTATCTATTTAATGATATGGCTGGGTGTAAAGGTTAGTATTTTTTAGAATTAGTGCTTATTTCTTATGATCATGAAGCCTAACCATTCATGAAGCTAGAAATATGCAACATATGTTTTATAGCGCCGTGAATCCATGTTTTGTCCGGCCTTATCTCGGACTTGACGAGCTTACCGTTCGTAATTTAATTATTATTGTTACTACATCAAAATTTACTGAGGGATGAACAGCATTATTACCTAAACGGTGTTCTTACTAATGGCCCTCCCGCACTACTGATTTTAATTAGCCGAGTGCATAATCAAAAACAAAAGAAAAAGAAAAAAGGGTAAAGTTTGGCCATGGATAATAATATAAATGGATAGGACTCTAGCTGAAGTAAGCAAAAACAACCTAGTTGCAATCTGTGACGTCACGCTTATTGCAAAGTTCTGAGCATTTTTGTTGTTTCGCTAGACTTTCTGCTTTAAAAGAGTAATATTGAAGCATGAACTGGTCTAATTGTTTCAAAAGCATGCCTAACCAACGACAAAGTATTCAAGGTAAATGTTTTTCGTCTTTGTTTTGTATTTTTTTACATTTGTAGCTACGAAACTGACGTCCCCAATATTAACGAGATTTGGGATGCATTTTTCACTGTTTAGCGCTCGAAATATTCGCTAATAAATTGACCGGGAATACTTAGAGATTTCATTGTAGAATGGCGTAGTTATATTCATTTGCTCTTTGACTAAAATGTTTAGCTGTTTTATTGCTAAACACGCCGTTTTTGAGAATTTGGTTTGCAACTAGGTTTCAACATCCAATCACGCCATCAGTCCATTGAAAACATTAGGTCACGTCAGCTAGTTTCCTATCCATTTATTTTATTATCCATGGTTTGACCCACCCAAATGTTCGTCATTAACAATGGCAAATTTCGTTGTAAGCCAATCGGTGCGTTGTTTACATTTTCTTTTTTGGCCGACCGGAAAGCTTTACATTTAAAATCATAAACAAAAGGAGCGAGAAAATATTATCGTAACCTAAAACTTCCGTGAGCTACAATATTAATAATTAACTTTTTTATCTCAAAACGAAAAATTTTGATAGAAAATTGATATATATATCTCGCATTTTGCCGTAGGTCGATTTTTAATTTCGACAGAGAACACGAAATGTCGATGTTTGAATTATCGCCGTTATTGCACATTGTACAAATGCAACAGCAACAAAATGCCAAAATTTGAAAAGGTTGCAATAAGTTTCAGAAAAGCAATCAGTTGCAATAATCCTTTACAAGAAGATCGGTCAAAGAATAACGAGGGGAAAGTTATCAATCTGCGCGCAGGCCCGTGGTTTACTGAAGGTGGCCAATGCTTTACAGCGATACGTGAAAGAAGAATTAGGCCAATTTTGTGCAACCTACTTAAAAAGGTGCACGAGCAAGCGTAAAGTAACCAAATTCTTTGCCAAAGATAATCTTGGGGATGTGAAAAAAGTATACAGAAGAGTCAGGTAGAAAAATTAAAAGCCGGAAATAGCAATAAATTATTTCAAACCTGGACAGCGGTCAGGTAAACTGTTCAACGGTAACCCTAAGATAAAGATTAACTTTGGTACTACATTTCAATGATAAAAAATCTTGATTAGACTTGTAACATCAATGTTACCATTTCCCATATACTGTCCCTTAACCAATACTTTCTTGGGCTTTGCCTGGATGCTTTTTTCTGATAAATTTGGATGAGGAGAATTCTCTTGTGATTGAGAAGGATACTAGTCTTTAGGATAATGTAATCATTTGTTATTAAAATTATTGACCTGTCACTGACCTGACTATGTTTTATAACCTTTTGCAATAGCACAGTGCATGTAATAATGGCAGCGGGGGAGGTGGAGGAGGGGGGGGGGGAGGAGGTGAATTTAAAACGCATAAAAAACAAGAATTACGACAAATACCAGTGTCTGTATACTCTGGTTTTGGTCTTAATTTTTATTGAATAATCACTACAATTACTTTCCCCGTGCATAACTTTGATAATGTACTGTAATAACTCTATTATGTAATACTAAACTATAAAAATGTACATCTACTGTATTATATTATAGTTGGTCACTCCAGAATGATCGACTTCAAAGTATTGAAGTTCTACAAACCCTAGAAACAGTAACAAACAGTCAAAAATATAATACAATAACAATCACTTTGAGTTCGCCATGCCAAACGATTACCGTGGAAAGCCAATAGTGCCAAACAGTGGCCGATTTTTCCCTATCAGTAGAAGAGTATGCTTTACTACTCCAGAAAGCATCGTTTTGTCCTAATTGCAGAGATGATCTCATTAAAATCCGGTCTTATGTTTATCATTTGTCAAAAATGGTTAATATTTATATCATGGTATATTCGCAGTCCCAAAGATCCAAAACATTTCGCGTAGCCTTGCCGAGAACTCTTCAATGTTTTGGCATCGCTGAACAAGGACTTCAGTCTCTCCGATATCTCGGTATCGCTGCCCTTCCTCGCACCGTAAAGCCCAAGCAAAGTTGCCTTCATCAGCACATTCAAGTCATATTTCAATATTTCAATCCAGAGCCTAGCATCAAATATTGCTGCAATCGTGGACATAACTTGTTAATAAAATTTTAATTTGCCTTTGTGAGAGTTTAAATTGTAGTTTAATTCCTGTAGTTTGTCTAAAACATCCCCCGCTCCCCCAACACAATGTTGTTGAACTACGTTTAAAATGAGAGGAAAGTCATGGCAACATTGAGTGGGGGAGTGGAAGGTGGGGACCTATATGAAGTCATTTGATTGTATTTTCCTAAAATGTCGATCGATTTTATTAACACTTTTGTCCATGATTGTCTCCAATAAATTGCAGTTTCCCCCGTTAAAATGCAATCACCTGCTGAGGGTTTTACGGTTCACAATGTATATTCCTTTTACCCGAGATTTTTAAGCTTCAAAGCGAGACAAAAACATCATTTTTTCGACTATATGTGCTTTTATAACCAAAAAACACTGATCAACACTATATGTCAATTTAACCAGATAGATTTGCAAGTGCTTTTGATGCAACCAACATGCATATGCAGTAGTACATAAATTTAAAGTTAAGCAGAAGGCTTAGTGAAAAAATACATTAGACAAATTAATTGTACATCTTCTGCTTGCTAACTCTATAGTTCGTATTAAATAACCTTATATCGTGCTTTGGGGCGAATATCTACCTCTGGATTCACATCACGCGGAACGGTTAACCATGGTTAACCGTGTCGGTTAACCTCCGACAATAATGGGAAAGTTTATGTTTGCTGGCATACTTGTGTAGACATTGTAGCATTTTTGACATTTCCAGAAAATGCAGGATTGTATCAGAGAAGATCAAGTTATCACAACTGCCAATTGTGCAGAAATGCGATGTTCAGCTACGGTTAACCGCTTGTTTCAAAAGCTATTAAAGACATCAAAAATTTATCAATAGTATGGTGAACCGTGCTTAAAAGCCCAAATAAGCAAATGGTAACCATAATTACGATGTAAACATTTAAAAGGAAGTTCATTCATGTCTAATAAATAGAAAAACTACAAAATTTATCGTCCCAAAGTGCTGCCTGCAATAATTTCTAACATTTATGGCCACGGTTAACCTTCTGGTTAAGCGTTGCATTGTTAATTACTGAGGCATATGCAAATGACATTCAAGCGTTCCTGCTGATATTTTACTAGACAATCATTTACGTTACGCTATTCAAGCTAATAATCTGCTACTAGCTGGAAAATGTTTATTTTGCATATTTTAATATTACAAACTCACCTTACAAGTTTAGTATACAACCTTTGCGAAAATAACTATATTATATTGCTATTTTAAAACTATTTTATTACTATCATCCCTATTTTTATGCTGTTTTATTCAGAAGCAACCCTATTTAATTCTATCATAATATTTCACCAAAAGAAAGAGCCATATTTTATTAATGTTTTATTTTATTTTATTCCTATTTTTATAGATAATAGAAATAAAATCGCATATTTTAATACTATTTTCCAGAGCTTCAGGGAAAAAATAGGTTTAAAATAGCCTATTTAAATTCTATTTTACTTCACTAAAAAGCAGTTAGAAATTAAAAAAGATATAAAATATACTATTTTTAAACTCATAAAATAAAATAGGCTGTTTAAATCCTATTTTACATTGCAAGTTAAATGCACAAATTTCAAACAGGAATAAAATATACTATTTTAATCCTATCTTTCCTTCATAGTTAGTAAAATAACAATAAAATAGACTATTTTAAACATATTTCGCACGTGCAGAAAATTACATAAATTAAAATAGATATAAAATATAGTGTTTTAAAGCTATTTATTTTTCAGAATACGTAAAACAGAATAAAATAGACTATTTTAAACTTATTTCACATTTTAAAAATGCCACATTTTTCAAATAGGGATAAAATATACTATTTTAAACCTATTTACTTTCCCTAATTTGCAAAATAGAATAAAATACACTATTTTAATCCTATTTTACATTTACAGGAATTCAGGATTACAATTTCAGGGCGCGAAATAACAGCCGGTCAACAGACAATGTCCGACCAGATCACCAGAATGCGGAGTTGTCCGGTCAAATTCTTACCTTGCCGGTCATTTTGACCGGCCACTTTAGGTAAAAGAACAAACTAATCTTCATTTTATAATAATAATCAAAATAAAGTGGTCAAGTACAGTATTATAATTAAGAACCATAACATGCATGTTGTCGAATATTTTGCAGGAAAACAACTTCAATGTACACAAGTTTTCGCACGCAGTACGTCATTGGCAGTACGTCACAAAGCCCATGGGCCATGGCCATGCCTTTGGCTTCAGAGCTAAGACCATGCTTTTAGCCCTGTACAAGCTGTTTTATGGGAAGGAATTTTTAATTACTGATTACAGTAAGGCTTTTTGTACTGCTATACTGGGAAAATGGTCACATTTTTAGGGGTATAGTTTACTAGCTTTTGCTTGAAGCTGAATAATTTGACCGGCCAGAAATTCGGTATGTCCGAGCTAAAATTGAGTTGGCCGGTCCATTGACCGCCGACCCTCCAGCCGTTATTTTGCGCCGATAATAGTTATTGAAAATCACTTACATGTGTTTCCTGAAAGATTTTAATGAGAACCAGCCAAGATTGGCATTGACATGAGGTTAACAGCCATAGTTGGGGTTGACATGAGGATTAACAGCAGGAAATAATACAAAGCTGGTCACTTTGACCGTTAATTTGGATTAATTGGGACAAACGCTGACAGAAATCAATCGAATAACGCGAACTTCGGCTGCCGCATCGTCGCCAAATTATGTTACATCGGAAGAGCGATAATTTTTACATAATATACTTTTCTTTAACAGAATTTAACAATATCTTCCTGCAGAAAATGCCGAATTGAAACTTACAAATGTCTAATCTTCTGAGGTTTGTGACCGGTATGAATTCATGGCTTTCAAATTCGAATTACACGCTGCATTATCATTGGTCGGCTTTCAAAACAACAGGCCATTCTCACAGGCCATTCGCTAACTCCCCAAACGTTCGCTCTCTGACCGGAAATGTCCTGCTGTTGTTTTGAAAGCCGACCAATGACAATGCAGTGTGTAATTCGAATTTGAAAGCAATGAATTCATACCGGTCACAAACCTCAGAAGATTAGACATTTGTAAGTTTCAATTCGGCATTTTCTACAGGAAGATATTGTTCAATTCTGTTAAAGCAAAGTATATTATGTAAAAATTATCTCTCTTCCGATGTAACGTAATTTGGCGACGATGCGACAGCCGGAGTTCGCATTATTTGATTATTTCTGCCAGCGTTTGTCCCAATTAGTCCAATTAACGGTCAAAGTGACCAGCCTTGTATTATTTCCTCCTGTTAATCCTCATGTCAACCCCAACCATGGCCGTTAACCTCATGTCAACGCCAATCTTGACCGGTTCTCGTTAAAATCTTTCAGGAAAGACATGTAAGTGATTTTCAATATACTATTATATAAAGATATAACGTAATAAATTAATAACACAGGATTTTCTAATGATTTTCAATATACTATTATATAAAGATATAACGTAATAAATTAATAACACAGGGTAAGATTGGGCCGCCTGACGGATCGAACGCTTTGCAGAAATAAATTTATGTGGTGTTTCCACAAACAATAGTATTATATGTTTTCTTTAGTTGTTTACCTTTGACACTCCTAAGTGAACTTGCCAGACCAGACTCAGATTCTTATGGATAATTGGTTTATGTCTGCACGCCACAATGTTGGACGCAAATGGTAATAAATTCTTCTAATTAAGAAACTTTTATAGATATTTTTGCAACTATGGTAACTTTTCATGCTGTGAGTGATTTGATATTTGACCCACAATGTTTTGATCAACACAATCTTGTCGCAATTTTTTTTAATCGGAGCAGCTCTATGATATATATTTGGCTCTTTCTTAGCTTATATGTGGCAACCTCAATATGGATCCTTGGTACATGTACATAATTAATGTAATTATGGTACATGTACATGGTACATAATTGAGGTAGTACTTATGTCAAGCTCACTTACCCTTCTTTACTGATGTTCCAACATGGTGTTTTTCAACGTGAGCTTCATAATCAACATCACTAACTCCTTCCACAGGCAGTGATGGGCAAACACCATTCCGGCCGTAACGACACACAAACGAACCTCCCTCTTTAGTACAATGCTCAGAACGAAGATGTCTTACAAAGTCTCGAGGATTCTCAAACGTAAACTTTCCCTCACAGACCAAACACATTCCCCAAGTTCTTTGGTGCATCATGTCTGCAATTTGTAACATGTTTGCTGCCAATTCCTGCCGAATGTCGTCTTAACATACCATTTATAACAATACGTGTCTCATCTCGAACCGCATCCTTTCAGAAGCCAATAAAGAACATCTCTTTGCCGAATTTATATTCGTAAATGTAGAGAGTAAATAAAGTGACAAATATATCTTGAGAACAAGGGTAATTTCACATCTCTTTCCCCGAACTCTGAGGCAACAACATATTAATAATCATTAAGAATAAAAGAGGTGCTTGCAATGAACTTGATTTTGATAGATAAGAGGTACTTGCAATCAACTTTATTTTGAATTGACTTCCACGTAACATGAATTGGCAGAACTCCTGGCCGCCATATTGAATTTAAACGCGCAGGCACGGAGTCTGGGGGCTACCCACTGAGCTTTACTTTATTACTGGAGGTTGGATCACAGGTCACAGATTATTTGTGTGTGGGAATTTTCTCTCACAATACCATATAATCAGGGGACCGGCCAAACGGAGAGTTATGTTCGAACCACGCACAAACCAGGCCCACTTTTCCTAACGACCACACCCAATTTCTTAACTCTCCCAATGTTTCCTTGAACTAACATGAGAGAGTTATGTTTGACGTAACTCTCTCTCGTTAACATTATGAAGATGTTAGAGAGTTACCATTTTTTATAACTCACCGCGTTCACGATTGTGGCAATGAAGAGAGTTGGCAATGAAAAAGATATCTCAAACGTGGTGGTCTAGTGTAGGTAGTATTCTGCAATAAGCTGTCATGGTATGTGTCTGAACTACCTGAGAAACAGTGCCGGATTACAGGGACGTGCTGGCGTCTTAAACAGGACAACGAATGAGCAACGTCTCATAGCGGCCAGGCCCAATTTTGATATTTTTTCCAATTTTTTCACCAATAATTGTTGGTGATTTTTACAAAATAAATTGTAATAACTTAATCTTGACTTTGAAAATCAAAATCTATATATTTTTATTTTTTCCAATGTTTTAATTTTAGGAGCCCATGATGGCAGGGGCCCACAAAGAGTTCTCGTTGGCTCGTCCCTAGCCAGCACGTCCCTGCCGGATTATCTAAGACACAAAAAGGGGCGTTTGCCCACCAGCCGAAAAAAAGAATAACAAATAATTTATAGCTTTCCTTCGAAAGTTTATATAATCTGATCATCGAATAATTAAACTCGTAATTGCATTGGTAAAGCAACCTCGCAATAAGAACCAGAAAAGTGTTAGATATTCAGTTAGTATATATATCATATTTTACAAATATAGCAGTTCAAAACGTAAACAAAGTTCGCGCATGTGCACAAGAGTGGACATCATCTTTAAACAAATCTAACTGAAACATTTTCTCAGCCGAGGAACTGCAATATGAGTTTTATATGTCCGATCTAGTAGGAGAAATCAGACTTTTATCACAACCACAGGGGATTCGCTTTTTGTGACAGGCCCTTAAAATAGTTTTGCCCCCGGCCCTGGAAAGGTTAATCCGGCACTGCTGAGAAAGATATCTCAAACGTGGTGGTTCAGTGTAGGTAGTATTCTGAAAAAAGTGCCGTGGTTTGTGTCCTAAACTACGTTGACTGGTGGTCCAGTGTATGTACTATTCTGCAATAAGCTGTTATGGTTTGTGTCTGGACGACCTGAAAAAGATATCTCAAACCGGTCCAGTACAGTGTAGGTAGTGTTCTACAATAAGCTGCCGTGGATAAGGTCCATCACGAGATTATCCTGAACGCCTTAAGAAGCTTAATCTATTACCAATATCCTACTGGATGGAACTAACGGATCTCGTCTTCTTTTTTAAATGTAAGCACGGTCTCTTCGACCTAGATATCTCCTCTTTCGTCACTTTTTCTTCAAACAGCTCGTCTCACACCCGTTCAAGTTCGGACAACTTGCTTCATGTTAATCTTTGCAGGACTTCTCTCTTTAGGAACTCTTTTTTCAACCGAATTGTCTTTCTCTGGAATAACCTCTCTCCCTCCATTCGTAATAGTTCAACCGTTTCCTCCTTTAAAAACAGACTAACGGCTGTTCATTACTCTTCTCTGCTTCATTCATCTTTCGATGTAAACAGAATGCGCACTTGGAAAACCTTCTGTTCTGAGTGCCGCTCTTTCAACTTAGCTGTTGTTCGTAATTCGTCATGTTTTCTGTAAATTGTATATTTGTTCTCGTCTTTGATTTATGTTTGTTATAGTTTGTTTTCATTAAGGTTGGTCTTCACGTACATGGGGCTATTCATGTCCTGTTGACCATACCTTCAACCATATTATGTAGTGGTTTAATCTATTTTATGTTTGGTTGTAAAGTTAATAAATAAATAAATAAATAGACTGAAGTTTGTGAATGTAGGAAAGTGAAATGCCATAACTGTGGACACATACAAGAAGATATGGCAACATTAAAAGGAAGCTTATTAGAACAGGATGGGGAAATGAAAGCAGTGAGAAACAGCAATGCTGAAGTAATGAAAGAAATAAAAGATCTGAAAGAAAATCTTTCCAAAGTGAACAAAGACGTGGACAAAGTCAAAGTCATGATGAGTCAAATGTTAGAGAAGTATGATATGCTTGATCATGAACTGCTCAGTAAACTTGGCTCTCCAACAACCGAGGGAATATTCAATACAGGTAGCCGTAAGGAAAATATTTCGATTGTAGGTGGACGGGATGCGGGTCATACTGATACAGAAATATTTTCCTGGGAGAAAAATGGTTGGTATGACCGTATGAGATTTTGCAATCAAGTATAGTTGTACTTGGAGGTCATGACGAGGATCACCAAATTCTGAATGATGTTTTCATGTTTGACTGCAAGATGGGCTAGATCACAGCCTTACCATGCAAGAATGCAGTACCTTATTTTCAAGTCAAAAACTACTAGGGATATACAAGTTTATACCGTTGTTAGAAGTAAAAACTTTAATTGACAAGTCATTTTAATTGGAGCATGCCACTTTTTACTTTTTGACACTGAATTACTTTAGCACTATATGTATTTCAAGAAAAGTAGACTGCACTTAATCAATCGATAGCTTAACACATATGTATGCCTTTCATGTAAAATAAAGTACAATTAATTTTTAATTATATCTCATGCAGGTTTATACAGAAATTGTTCACATGGCGAATAATAACTGAGAAAGCTGCGGATACAACGATCTTTGCAGTTACAAATATAACCTGAAAAATACAAGCAGAAATTAACTTCGATGTTTCGGGCGAAGGCCCTTTGTCGGGAAGTTAGTGGCCATTAATTATTCTTGTACTTTTCAGGTAGTTGTATCCCTATCAATCCACAACTTTCTCATTTAAAAACTAGTTTCATACTGTACACTCTGCAGTGTCAGAGAACACTTTTCGTTGTATACTCTAGTAGGACTATATAGTTGCATTTTTCACAACTGCATGCTCCCATGCATGGTTTGGTCTGAAAATTACATATACATGATCTTCCGCTTTATATCCCCCTTGCCCTTGTTAATTCAGCTGACGTAATTCTTGGGCCCGGGCCAAAGCATGTAATACACTAGAGAGGTTAAGATACCCCGGTTTCGGTGAACGGGTACGAGTAGTGTCATCTTGTTTTACTGATGTCTGTAATTCGATCATACTTTTTCTGTTTTCTTGCAATAGACAATGATATAATGCGAAAAATGTGCACCTTAATTACGAGTAAAGGTACAGACATCGACGAAAATATTGCTAACCAAAATTATGCTACCCGTACCCGTACACCGAAACCGGGGTATCTTAACCTTTCTAATGTTTACAACATGAGCGGCCGTATCAGATATATACAAACTCGAGCCGAAGGCGAGAAAATATTGAGTTTTAATGAGTTTTTAATGAGTTTAATTTAATTAGTTTAATTTTAATTTAGTTTTTTTTTAATGAGTTTTTTAAAGCCATTTACAACATTCGCGTCCGTGTTGTATCGGATATACAAACTCTCGCCTTCGGCTCGAGTTTGTATATCCGATACAACACGGCCGCTCATGTTGTAAATAGTACTAATTTATTAATTTATAAAGCGCTAAACACTATAAATATTCTAAAGCAGTGCGACAACTTGTTGACAGACTTGCTACAAGATGTGAGATCTTTACGTGTGTAGCATAACCATTGTTCACAACGCAAAAATCTCGCATCTTGTAGCAAGTCTGCTAACAAGCCGTCAGCAAGTTGTGTTCGTAATTGTGTTC